TTACTTCCAAGGTTCCCTTTTAGACCGAACAGTCTCTGAGACAACAAAAAAAAAGAGCATCCATAAACAGACAAGAATCCAATCCCCAGTGAGTTCCATGAACCTACAGGTTAAAAAAGAGAACCTATAGCACAGTAATTCCTCACTTGAGGTCGCCAGACCTCCAGGTGTCTACAAATAAAGACAGGTGCTTCTTGAGCCAGTTTCCATTTTTCAGAACATCTATGAGAAACCATATACTCAACCTTCTCTGAGGTAAAGTTTCAAGTATCTTTGCCTTTGTCTGGATTCATGTAAGTAGTTTTAAAATAGTGATTCAAAGCTGATTTACAGCTTGACGTATGAAAAGTAAAAAATAAGAAAACAAATTATTAGTTAAAATGTACTTTTTGATAGGCAAAATGTTTTTAAGAAATGGGACCTATAATGATTTCCTTGATTAAAACCTTGGGAAATACAAATAGAGGGGATCATGTACTAGTCTAGAAAATAGAGAAATAGCATTTTTCCTCAATATGATTTACTTCATCTCACTGCACCTCAGTTTCCATTTTCATCAACAAATGGGACAGTATCAATCAGACTCTAAAATTCTGTGATTTTGCCATATTATATAATGACCTCCTAAAAAATGTCTGCTAAGAAGTTAGTTCTTTATATTCAGAATCCCTGCAAAGAACTTTCTTTATTGACTCTACTTAGCAAATCATAAGAATAAACAATACTAAATATATAATATTAATAAACAATATACAGGCTGTAGTACTTAGAAATTTATAAGTCACCTTAGAAAGCAAAGAGAAAAAAAAATAAACTAAAAAGAAAGTAAAGTGTGCTTATGTACAGCTGACAGAAAAAGCCAACAGGAAACACTTCAGTATAAAGCCTCCCCAAAACAATGTCCCTGATTAACAACAAATGAGTTTATCTTTCTTTCTCAAATTTTACTCCGAACACACCAGCTTCCAAATACATCCCTGGAACAAATGAACTGAAGAAGGGGAGGAGAGCAAAGGAAAAATACTGTATCATAATTGGTTTCCTCCCTTCAAAATTCCAGAAGATGAAAAGTGGGGGAAGGGAGTGGAAACTAGCCAAAACCCAGCATGAAACTCTCCTATTTAGAGCTTAACACATGATATCTCCTATTACATCTCCTACTTACAGCTTAATAATTATTGTGGTCTTTTTCTTCTTCACTTTTTTTTTAAAGTCATAAAAATGTTTCTCTACTATCAATTTTTTTAATATTAAGAAAAGTTGGGGTACCTGGCTGGCTCAGTCAGAGGAGCGTGTGACTCTGGACCTTGGGCTTGTGAGTTCAAGCCCCACATTGGGTATGGAAATTACTTAAATAAAATCTAGAAAGAAAAGAAAAGAAAAGAAAAGAAAAGAAAAGAAAAGAAAAGAAAAGAAAAGAAAAGAAAGAAAAGAAAGAAAGGAAGAAAGAAAAGAAAGAAAAGGAAAGAAAAGAAAAGAAAAGAAAAGAAAAGAAAAGAAAAGAAAAGAAAAGAAAAGAAAAGAAAAGCTATTTGCTTTTTAGTGATTCACACTAACCTAAATTGAACATAACACTGATGGGGGAGAGGGGGCACTGGTGAGAAGGACTATTATTTGTGGGGTTTTGGGAAAGAGAAAAGCAGGGGTGCCTGGTTAGCTTAGTCGGTAGAGCATGCAACTCTTAATACCCAGGTTGTGAGTTCAAGTCCCAGATTGGAATAGAGATAACTTAAAAAAAAAAAAAAAAAGAAAAAGAAAAATGGCAGGCAAGATCTTTTACAATATAATACATACTGTATTATACATCTGAACCCAAGTTCAGAGGTTTCTAATGAATTTTTAAAATGTCATTTGACTTGATAGGACAGACCAGAAAGGCAGACTACCCCCTTCCTCAAGCAACTAAAGTTATTATAAATACCAACAATACACAATTTTCAACTTCCAATTCAATATTATCATTGAGAAAAAAAGGAAGTTAGAAACCTAAATTCACGTTTTAGGAGGTAATATAGCATTCTGCTCACAACTATATAGGAGTGAAGGGATTCATTCCAATAATTTAACATAAAAGAAGAACACACTGACTCATTGGAATAAGGACTCTATTAATCCTTGGGAACACCAACCATCTCTGTATTTACATGTATATGTAAATATAGATATACTCAACATCAAATAGCACGGTAGGTTTTAAACTGCCCACATGAGGGGCACCTGGGTGGTTCAGTCGATTGAGCGTCTGACTCTAGGTTTCAGCTCAGGTCATGATCTCATGGTTAGTGAGTTCGAGCCCCTGCACTGTTTAGTGCAGAGCCTACTTGGGATCCTCTCTCTCTGCCCCTTCCCTGCTCACTCACTTGCTCGCTCTCTCTCAAAATAAATAAATTTTTAAATAAATAAATAAATAAGCCCACATGAATCAAAGTGTAACACAAGCTCAACAGACACCACTCTAGCCCCCTACCAAAAGAACAATAAAACATTTCACCTAAAAACAAGTAAGGTGCATTTAAATATAACCAGTTACATTCATTTAACAATTCTGCCAGCCTAAAAGGGTACAAAGACACAAAAATGACTTAGCCTCTCACTTCAAGGAGTTCACATGAGCGGGGAAGCCAGAAGCATGTGCAAAATCAAAATTCTGAGATCACAAAGAACAAACTTGCAAATTTAGTGGTAAGCAGAATTTGCCAGGTGAAAAAGTAGGAGGAAGGGTATCAACAGGCAAGGAGACTGGCATATATAAAGGCATGAATGTAAAGAGCACAATTAGATAACCAGAAGTCCTGAGTTGCCAGGGCAAGGAGATTAAGAAGGAAGGATGAATAAGCATGAAATGGTAGTATTACGCCAGGAAAGGAAGCTTGTGGCTAGGTTGCAGAAGGCCATATATGCTACAACGAGGTGTATGATCTTTATCCAAAAGGCCACAGAGAACCCAATATAAAATAAACTGTTTTTATCTTATTATTTTTTTATTTGAGAGAGAGAGAGAGAGAGAGAGAGAGAGAGAGAGAGAGAGCGCATGCGCACAGGAGAGCAGGGCAGAGTGAGAAAGAATCTTAATAGACTCCATGCTCAGCGCAGAGCCTGACACAGGGCTGGATCCCACGACCCTGGGATCATGACCTGAGCCAAAATCAAGAGTCAGACGCTCAACTGACTGAGCCACCCAGGCATCCCAAACAACATTTTTAGAAAGCCAGCTGGTGACAATGTGGAAGACAGACATAAAAGGAGAGGTGGGGGGGGTGGGGCTAGAAAATATGAGAACACTACTGCAAGAATTAGAATATTATTGAAATAACGTAAGTGAAATGTGATAGGTCAGCAATAATAGAAACAACTAAATAATAGCACACCAAACTATATCAATTTAGCAGTGACTGTGTATCCCTATACTTGACCATAAGCTCCTATACCAAGGTATAGGCAATAGGGGAAAAACAGAAAAGAATGTAAACAAGAAATCTCTAGAAGATATAATTAGCAGGACTTAAGGACCACTGACCATCCAGACCCAACAGAAGATCTTTACTTACACACTAATTTGGCCTTTCTGAATTGCTTCTGAAAATTTATTACTTTCTTCATTTAGAAATTTCTACTAAGATAGCTTATTTCACTTAATAGAGGCTAAAAATTTTGAGTTTTTAACCATTTGAAGAGTTTCATGTATCTTACACAGGAATTATTTAAGTCTAAAAATTTCCCTGTGGCCACATGGAAAACAAAAAGAAATAAATGCAGAATACTTTTCAGTCAGAAAACACTGATCTTATCCAAGTTTGGATACAACTAACTTTATATACCTTAGTAAGAAACCCTGAAAATACAGCAGAAATACTCACAAATAGCACCTAAATTAAATATGGGGGAGGAAAAAAGAAGCTCTTTAAAACTTTGGGCTCCAAACAATTCAGGTATCCAAACACATATAATTTTATTACAACACACAGTTCATATTTTTCATGAAACTAACACGTAATTATGCACCACAAGAAAAATAGGTAACTGATAAAGCTTACGGACCCAACTCCAATTTGATAAATGTGTTACTAAAGGGAAATAAGAATTGCAGCCACTCTGTTTCAACACACAAATTATCTCCCATCATTTTCTTTTAATTTTTTTTTAATGTTTATTTGAGAAAGTGACAGAGCATGAGCGGGGGAGGAGCAGAGAGAGGGAGACACAGAATCTGAAGCAGGCTCCAGGCTCTGAGCTGTCAGCACAGAGCCCGACGTGGGGCTCAAACTCACAAACTGCAAGACCATGACCTGAGCCAAAGTCACATGCTTAATCGACTGAGCCACCCAGGTGCCCCCCCCATCATTTTCAAAAATATGTTTGTTGAGCTGTCGATTTGTATTACAGGATTATTAAAAGAGTGGTGTTTCTTTCAGTAAAATGAATCATGCTTCCCTCAATAAAGATACTGATTTTCACAATGCTGGCAAGATGGTTTATCTACTTGAAGTTATCTTAATTATGAATATAGGTAAGGACAAAATATGATAAACACATTTCCCACTAAATTTAATGTTCAAAGACAAAATTATATTTGTCATGTTCTAACAAACAGTGTTAGTGTGCAATCATCTGAGGTTGACTGGCTCACCCTCAGATATTAACCATTAACCAGAGGTGTCAGTTAAAAAATCTATGTGAAATCATTAAAGTCAGCAAATGTTACAATTCAGTAGAAAGACTATTTAAGAATTTCTACTTCAATGATTATAATTTGACTAATAAACTTTTAAGACCCTTGTTTTTTCATGATAGTATGTGTAAGTCATAGGTTCCCCCACTAAAGGAAAAAAAGTTGGCATTGCGTTAGTTCCAGTTATAATTTCTAGCTGAGTCAAAGCTCTAACAGCCTTAAAGCAGGAAATCCAAAAGGAAATTCCATCATCAGTTCCTGGGGCTTGGTAACTCAATGGTTCTTTGAAACAAAGATATAAAAGTTCTCAAACTATTTACTATAATCTTACCTCATATCTTCAAGCAAATCACATTCTGCTTGATGTTTGGCTTGAAGTTTTGTCATCTGCTCAACTTGAGTGTTTTTCAGTTCTTGTGTAACTTTCACCTAAAATATATCATACATTTATGAAGGCCTTACTGCAACCTTAACAACAAAATAATTAATTAAGCAAAATACTTAATACTTGTCAGAATATAGAACTCTTGCTCACTTCTGTAAAGGCCATAAATCCATTATTAGCCACCTTATTTTGTTCTACTGACGATACTTAATGAGAAAACTAGGCAAATAACCTGAAAGAGGTTAAATAAAAGTAAAAGAGTATAAAAATTATACAATGAATAAGTGCAAAATAAGCTTCCAGTCATTCCATTTCATGCACAAGCTCAGTACACATGTAGTAGATCTTCTGAAGAGTTTTAAAAGGCCCTGTCTTCTATTTCTTCCAAAAAAGACTTAAAGATTTCTACCACCAGGGGAGGTGAGCTGAGTATAGATGGCAGAAGGGAGTATAGGAATGCCTAATATCTAAGGACCGAAATTTACACAATCATGAAATCATATGCATAAATTGACTACATAAATTATTCCATAATGGCTGCGAGAAAGCACACTGTGTCTCAGGATGATGCCCTCCACTCGCTGACAGCCCATCAAATCACAATCTCTTTCTCACAAAGGAGAAAGCAAAAGTGACCTTCCAGCATATGCAGTGCTTTTAAGCCACCCCAGCAAGCCGGTCCCCGTGGCGGCTCCACTTCAAACAGAACAGCAAATGCAAGCTGGCCAGTGCCTCTCGCCAGGGTTCCAGGTTACAGTGGGCCTGGAATCCCCCCCCCCCCAAACCAGAGCCGTGCTAACCCGGAGGGGTGGGGGGTACATGTGTGAAAGAAAAAAAGACTCACTTAACTGGAGAAACCCGGATTAAGAAAGAGAAAGAAGCAGACACGAGCGAGTTAGGTTTGTCCACGAGGGGAGGACAGAACAGCCTTCTCCACCCAATGCCCAGAGTAGACACTAAGTAACCATCTGCAGGATTAAAAAGACAAGGACACAGCCTCAGCCCCTAGGAACGCTGGGGAAGAGGACAGTGAAACAGTTCTCGAAGGGCGCTGGGGGGAAGCGGCTGACACGCCGGGAGCACCCGTCACTCCCACCCCAAGCCCAGATCTCCGTGCACACGCCACGCACTGCCCATTTCACGCTCTCCGGGAGCAGCACCACTGCCTCAAGGCCCCCTAGCTGGAGGGGCGGGGCAGGATTGGGGGTGGGGGGAGAAAGGCATAATTTCTTGTTTTCCCCTGGGGTGGGGGGCGGTAACTAGTCCAACTTCTCGGCCGCCCCGTGGGAAAAGCAGGCCGAACCTTACGGCTAAGACTAGAAACAAATTCCCTGAAAATTTGCAAACGGACGAGGGTGGCGACAAGCAGCTGGAGGGCTCAAATCAGGCACAGACTAAACAATCACACAAGCACAGGCTCTGCAAAGCTGCAGGGGCTCCCCGCCTCCCCTCGGTGCAGCCCCGAGAATGCACTTTGCAGCGAGCAGCACTGCCATGCGCGCGCGCACACAAATGCACACCCGAAACTCTGTGAAATGTCTAGGGGTCTCCAGTGCGGTGGAAGGGACGAGCCCGGGTCGCCCCTCCGTCGGAAAGACACCTCATTCGCGTGGCCCCCTCCTGGAGCCGCCGGCAACTCGGTGACAAGCCCGAGGCGACGGCGGTCACGGCCCCTAGCGAAAAGGGGGAGGGGACGCAGCGGGTCGCCCCAGCCGCGTCCCTTGTACACATCCCTCCCAAACCCCAAAGCCCCCCGGCTGCACTCTCACCTTCCTCGGCGGCGGCTGCATGATGCTGAAGGGACATCAATCCTCCCCCGACGGCGGCGTCAGCTAGGACGAGGAGGTGGAGGGCCGTGAGGAGGGGAGGCCCCGCAAGCGAGTCTGTGTGTGTAAGGAGAGCCTGAGAACGAGAACTCCCCCGGCAGGGAGCAAGGCCGGCGGGCGGCTGGAGGACCCGGGTCGGAGGGCGAGTGTGAAGAGAAGGAGGAGGAGCGCCGGGAAGGCCTGGGGCTCGGACGGCCCGGGGGGTGTGTGAGGGAAGGAGGCGGAGACCGCAAGGGGGCGGGGGCCCTAGAGCTGGGGCGCAGGGTCTCCTAGCTCGCCGAGCGGCTCTCGAACAGCAGCGTCGTCCGGCTCCCCGCCCGCCGGCGCCGCAGCTCCTAGCAGACGCGGCCCCCCGCCCCCACTCAGGCAGCCCAGCCCTCGCAGGGCCCAGCGCCCCCGCCCGTCCCGGGGAGGTGGAAGGCGGCGCCGCGCTCTCGGCTTCGGCTCCTCCACTCAGGCCGCGGGAATTTCCGGCCCCACCAAGTGGCGCAGCGCCCCGCTCCGGCGGCGGAGGGGACAACTCAGTCCAGAGCTGGGTTCGAGGGGCCGGGCCACACTGCAGGGAAGGAGCGTGGCGGCGGCGTGGGGCTCTGGATCTCGGCGGGGGGGAACTAACGGATCGGTCGGGGAATAGAAGGATAGAAACGCTAGCGGAGCACGAAAATCCCCCCCTCTCTCCGAGAGTGGCACGTTCCAAACGCCTCTTGTCCTCCCTCCCCCACACTGGGAGCCAGACGGGGGCTTCCCGCGCGCTTTCCCGCCAGCCGTCCGGGCACGCGCCTGCAGTCGGAGCCGCGCACGTGGGCGGGAGAGAGCTCCGCGCCGACGCACGCGCACAAGCCGCCCCCACCTCCTACAGGTTTTTGGGCCGCAGCGTTTCTGTGTCCGTGTGTGTGTGTGTGTGTGTGTGTGTGTGTGTGTGTGTGTGTGTGTGTGTGTGTGTGTGTGTGTGTGTGTGTGTGTGTTTAAGGGGACGACACTGAAGTTTTTACCTTGGGGCGGAGGGTAGCATGCTTGTAGCTGCAGGAGAGTTCTGTTTTTACTTCTTTTCGATCCTCAAACACCCCTCTCTGGTGAGCGAATGGGTTAGCCAAATAGGCAAGCATGAAGGGGGCGAGCATCGACAAGTCCTTTCTCAGCGGGCCGCAGGTGTCTGACTGTTGCGGGGGTGGGACAGGGGGGTGTCTAGTTGCCTTGCAAAGGAGAAAGTGCTCTCTGGTACGGGGCATTCAAGTCAAAGAGCACGGACTCTCTGCTGGAAGGGAACCTCGAGGTTGTTAAGACCAGTATCCCCAATTCACAGATAGGGAGGCTAATACCCTTAGAAGAGGGGAGACTTTATGTAGGTCACACAGCACGACTACACTCTATGGGTCATAAACTTTTGCCAATGATAACTGTGAGAAAAAGTAAAGGAGGCAGCAGGGGCAACGGAGGGAACTCGTGTCTGGGAGTCAGGACCTCTGGATCTGGGTCCACTCTGCCTGCCTCTATGTAGCTGGGTATGTAGCTCCACCTTCCTCATCTGCCAGTGAGGCTGTTCATCCACGCAGCCCCCTCCCCACACATCCAGACCATCTGGGGGTAGGGTTTTCAGCCTTTCTTGAGCTGCTTAGAAGAATGAAAACACCTCTTCCAGAGCCACATGGATGTGCGAAGGGTGTACTAGATTGCCCCACAGTTTTATCAGAAGTTGGAGTACCGGACGCCTGTTCTCAGAAGAGTAGTCAGGCAAAAAGAGGAAAGTGAGGCCTGGAGAGACCCAAGTATATTGCCCGAGGCCACAATTGGCGAGAAATTGGTTCAAGATGGAACTTGAACCCAGGTTGTTCACACTGAATTACCTGGATTCTTGTACAAGAAGGCTATGCATGAGCTAGATTGTGTATGAACCAGGAAATCAGGCTTGCTTTTTCTGATTTCCTTGAGGCCATTCAAAAGTCAGCCCTTCACCAGAGTCCTCAATTACCATCAGGGAACGCCTGGGGCAATGGAATAAGTGGGTGGAGACCCAACTCCCCTGAGCCCAGGCAAGAGGTAGCCAGGCTGGGCTCCAATCTCAGCTCCAGCACCAATTAATTGTGAGGCTTTGAGCTAGTCAGTTTCACTGCTTTCAGCCTTTACTTTCTGGCTTGTAAAATGGGGATATAATACCAGCCCCACAGGCTTGTATTAATAGAATTCCGTCTACCACAGGCTCTGGCACATAGTCGGTGATCAATAATTGCTTACTGATTTATCATTCATTCAAAAAACATTTGCTGCGTCCTGCTTTGTGCCAAGCCTTGTGCCAGACACTGGGAATACAGATTCTTTTTTTTTTTTTTTTTTTCAACGTTTATTTATTTTTGGGACAGAGAGAGACAGAGCATGAACGGGGGAGGGGCAGAGAGAGAGGGAGACACAGAATCGGAAACAGGCTCCAGGCTCTGAGCCATCAGCCCAGAGCCCGACGCGGGGCTCGAACTCACAGACCGTGAGATCGTGACCTGGCTGAAGTCGGACGCTTAACCGACTGCGCCACGCAGGCACCCCGGGAATACAGATTCTTAAGAGCAAGACAGAATCAGCCTCAGCCTTCACCAAGGCTGATTTCCAGACCAGCCATTCCATGAATGTTACTAAGATAGTCGGGGTGGGGTGGGGGGTGGGTAACAGTGCTTTCCTAGACACAGTGTTATGCACACAAAGGTGCTTAACAAAGATTTGCTGGATCTTAGTCCTGGGTGCAACTAGTCTGGCCCAGAGATTATCCTCCCTTCACCTCTCTTTTATAGAAGTGAGGACTAGGGGTATAAAATTGCTAGATGTTATGAGATTCGGGATCTAACCTCTACTACTGATATGCTGGGCCTTCTCTGGGCCTTGGTCCCCAACCACAGAATAAGGTAAGTGAATGAGCCTGGAACTTAGTAGGCTCTTCACAGATGAAGTACAACCCTGGGGCTTTATTTTATGGGTTTAGGAGGGCATCCTCCACCTGATTTGCCATTATTCTAAAACCAGGAACGGCATTGACTTTCTGAGATGATTTTCTTTGGAGGTGTAATAAATAACAGGCAACACCAGATGGACTTACCTGCTGGGTGCTTTTTCAAAAATGTGGTTTAAAAAAAGAAATGTGTTTAACATTTACTAAATGCCTTTCCCAAAACCCCAACTTTCATATTACTTTTCTGGGCTAATCTTCACTATAATCCTGTGAAAGAGTGTTATTTTATTCATTTTACAAATGAGTAACTGGAAACTCAATGAAGGTAAGTGATTTGCCCTGAAGTGATGGATTTGGGACCAGAATCCAGTTCTCCCATTTGCCTCTTGTTCAGGGAATTGAGAGTTCACCCAGGAAAAATGCAGACTCAGGAGGATACAACCATATATTCCAAACTTCACAGGGATGGGAAAGGGATTTCTGTGACTTATACAAGCCTGACTTAAAATGTACCCCTTTGAACCAGGCTGGGAACTTCCAGAGCCTTGCTCCTGTAGTGCAAGCAAGCACTGTGTTACCAGATGTAAGATCCCTCGACACTGTTTGGGGGAAATGCCACAGAGCTGTCCTGTGACCACAGAGCAGCATGCGTTATAGCCCCAGAGACCGAACTGGGACTGGTCTCAGCTGTATCTAAGGAAGAAGGTTTTCCAGGCCAACCTGCCCTTAGAAGGGGTGAGCTCCCCCATTCCTGGAGCAGTGCAAGTAGGTGCTAACTCCCTTCCATCAAGGAGGCCACAGGTGGGATTCTTATCCTGGGAAAGAATTAATAACAGCTACCATTTATTTTGCCTCTTCTATGTTTCAGGGATTGAAGTAGGCATATTATTTACATTGTTTGTAACCTTCACAACTTCTCATGATACATATGACCCCGTTTCACAGATTTCACAGACTAAAGATCAGAAGTGAAATGACCAGCCCAAGGTCACACAGCTAGGACAGGAGAGCCAGGCCTGGCCCCTGGCTTCCTGTGATTCTGAAGCTATGCTCTTCCTCCAGCATGCTGCTGTACAGTCTCCCAGAAGGAATGTGATTCTAAATTTAAGTGAGATCCAGGATTAAAAGCTGACTAGAGCAGGCATAGGAGTGAGCATTGAAAGATAAGCTATCCCAATATTCCACAGAACTCCCAGGGGAAACTGCAGGGATACAAAGTGTGCAGCAGCCCTTGAGCATGATTAGAATGTGAACGGCACCCCACCACAGTTCAAAGTGGCCATCCAGGACAGATTGGCACTCCACCCAAGGCTCTAGAGATGGTGGCCACCATCCCATATGCCCAGACTGTACCAATGCACTTCCCACCCTCCTCACAGCTAGGGTTCACAGCCCTCACTCCATTTCCTGCTGTCTCATTATCTGCCACTCACATTGGTTCAGGCTGCTGGGGAATACCTATTAGCTCATCCAAATGCTAGCTATTCCCTGTTTGAGCCCCACTGAGGCTAGCTGACGATGCTGTTACAAATAATGCAGTCTGTGGACCCTATCCCCGTTACCTCCCTTCTACGCTAATCACCTTTCTTTCCCCTGTACTTCCACTCCCCACCCCACCCACACACACACATATCAACCTTTGCTCCTGCCTAAACTAATTTCCTCAACACAGCCCTCTGGTAAACCTGGTATGGGAGTATGCCCGTCTCCTCCATTAGCTCTCAAGACAGAATCACAGCCTGCTGGAATGACGTCTCAAGATCAGTGGCCAGCAGAAGAGGACAGGGGCTCTTCCTAGGACACAAGGTGAGTTTGTGGCAGAACTAGACCTTGAATTCCATCCAACATCACTCAACCTCAACCAGTCCCTTATTCTGGGTTCAGTCATAAGCAGGTCTCTGGGATGAGACCCAGGCCCTGCACTCCAGGAGCTCCCAATCTCAACACACAGACCAAAGATCTCAGCAGTGTGCCCCAAACACACAGGGCCCAGATTCCACCAGGTGGTGACAAGGATCTAAGGCCAGAGATGGGTTCCTGAGAGGCAGGCACTGGGACAGTGAATTATCTGGTCAGCCTGTG